CTGGTAAGTAAGGCAGGTTTATGCAGGCCCTAGGATCGACCCTTCAAGCCGCCGATCAGACTTGGGGGGAAGAGAAACAATGGGAGAAGAAAAGGAAGAGGAAGAGGAAGGGAATGAGTGGAGAGAGAGGAGGGGGGAAGCGGCCGACAATAAAGAATTCAAATAGGAAGCAGAGTCGAGGTAGCGAGGACCGGACCAGCCCAAACGGGAATTACTTGGGATGGTTTTAGTAGCCTGGAAACGGTACCATTGTTCTTTTGCCTTGGTGGGTATTATTCTCTTACCAGCCAATCCGTACTTTTACCAACCTTACCGTACTCCGCTTGTCGGGAAGGTCGCCAGCCTCAGGCTACCCATCCACCACTCCAAATAACCACCTTCATACAAGTCTGGATGATCATAGCCGTAATGAAAAACATCGCCGCCACCCTCATCTCAGATTCCATCAAGTGACACGAACCCATCGAACCAGATCGTAGATTACGTTGTACACAGGATTCCAAAGGTGTCTAGTGTCACCATCTGCATAAATCCCGGCACTATCCCCTGAAGCGCGGACAAACCAAGACGGGCAACAGAAACTTCAGTCACCCGGCAAGCAGCGCGATTGGTACACCTACTACATCGGAACAGGGTCTGCCTGACTAGTGTCCAATGCTATCTAGACATTTCACGGACTAATTTCGACGGAGTTTTTCTTCGGTGACATGCTAGAGCTCTATCAAAAGCAACGCTTTTATCTGTTATCAACCTCGCTTGACATGGATTGGTTTACTCGGCAGTATCATCCAAGTCTTCAATTGACCGCTTTTCCTGAACAATGGCCCAGCAGCCTGCTTAAAAGCAAGGGACCTACAGGAAGTCCGGCTCAGTTAATAAGGTCTCGAAACATGTACTATCTCTTGTAGCATCGTCATGACATCCGAGACGATAGCAGAATGCAACCGTATTAGCACTTCTCGGTGAAGAAGATTGTCTCGTATAAAGGCGGACCGCAAAAGAAACCATCAATTAACGCCTCCCCCTAATAAGGAGAAGATAACAATCAGCACCTGGAGACTGTCGAGCTCACCACAGCACGACTCCGAAGAAGGCACATCTTTCACTTTGTATGCAGCTCGTATTTGACATGCAAGGCGTAACGATATCGAACGCGTTAGGTAACCAAAAGTAAGTTACCATCGTCAGTTCTATCACGGTGCCCATCTGGGTTGAAGCTGCATCCACATCGGACTCCAACGTGCAGCCCAAGGTCCTGAATATTCCCTCATCCTTTCGGGGTTGGGTGGGACGGTGGACACCGGGACAAGGACACCATGGCCACTGAAGAGTCGTGATTCATCGGAGATAACGCACGATACCCACCTTTTTTCATCTAATCAATCTTTTCATCTCTGCCACGAAAGGGTTCCATCCGGCTCGCTGCTGCTTCGCTTCGATTTATCTTTCACAAATTAGTGTATATACCGACGGATGAGTGGCAGCCATGGTGTCTGAACCTTGACAAGTGCTGGCCCTTGAGAACTGAACGTACTTTGTAAACCAGTATCTTAACCGAGCCACCAGCAGATCTCGGAAACCCAAAGAAAAACCAGATTTTGCTTGCAGGCCAAAGCGCATACGCAACCCAGTGCGATCAGAGTGATATCACAGAGAGCACACGAAGGTTTGGAACTGCCACAAATGTGTAAATCGCATTACGGCATGGAATTGCCTGTCTTATTTTGTTCGATGGCTTCTGCGTAGTCGGCCAACGCTCGCGGGATCAGGAGTTGCCAGAGTATGGGTATGATTGGTACTGATGGGACCGTCGACGGTCGGAGACGCTGGATATTACTTGATTCAGCAATGGGGACGGTGGGGATCGCGTACTCGCCAAGGAAGGGCAAAATGAGCGTGGGAGAATCATTCAGGTGCGACAGGTTCAGCTCTTTTCTTTGGCTGAGTCTCCTAACGGACAAGGCCGCTGAGAAGCTGCAGTGGCCCTGGTGAATGTGTCACTGAATAAAGTGGTTTGGATGTGGTACCCGAGAAGAACTGTCACCCATCTCGTGCATGCTATGCGACAGGCACTAGAAGGACTAACGGAAAGCTTGATAGTTATGACAGGACACATTGTAAGTTTCTGCTCTATTCAGTTGCATCTCTCATATTCCACGACCATCAGATGTAGTACTTACTGACTACACCTATCTAGCTTGCCTGGGAATTCAGTCTTGTCAGCGCGCTTTGTTTGCTCAGGCTAGAGAAAGCGGGGCGCCCGTGTTTCATCGATCCCCATCGCGGCGCCTCTACACCCAATATCAGTAGATTTCTGCGCGGTAGGCGACAGAGAATTCTGAAGCCTTGATGCAAGTCATAGAGAAATATCAAACACACATTTATTTCGTGTATCACCTGTATTGGTTCTGCACGACGGAGCGCTCTTGAGGAAACCCAAGCCAATCAGCGGCCTCCATGGTCTTCAACGTCCTCACTTCTGCAACACGGGAGATCGCCTGTAATGACGCTTTCTGTCATGAGATCTTGCTTCCAACCAGATTAGGCGCTGTTGCTAATTTCAGATTTTGATGCCCAGGGTACCTTGCTATGCACGTTTGACTCAATCAGCTCCTTCATACGGCTCAATCCAGCAGCTACTACTAATAACTCCAGGCCCTTTATCTGCGACATATCGGGAACGAGAAAAGCTTGGTAGGACGAGCATTGCGATCGATTGGCCCTGAATAGACCGTTACGATGAGTTCCGATCATTTTTGGCATCATCCTTAGCGCCTGCAAAGAATGCCCTCTCTTGACGCTGGTTTATTCACTTGCTGGGATGGGCTGTTTCAAATGACCTGATCACATTGGGCATTGTAGTCGATCCCCATATCTTTTCTTTCGGGCTGCTAGCAAACACGGGCTCTAGAGAAGAAGATAAAGATGGAGAGCGGAACATTCAGATGAATACTTATTGTGGGTTCGTTCCTATTGTCAACTTGCTGGTTCTACTGTTTTCTGTGACCAGACAATCGCTTTGTTTGCCAAAATCTTCTTTGTCCCTTCTATTGTTGTCTTTTCGCCTATCAAAGTATTTCCATAACACCGAGTCTCGAATAGGAAAGCCTAGTGGTGTTTCGGGACATGAGTATATAGTTTGTACGTACCCTTGCTCACTCAAATGTATTGCACCGGTCAACGTTCTTCTAAATACTAATTACTACAAACAGACTGCTACCTTTAGTGACACCACTGGCTGGTGTACTATCTGAATAGAGATACTGTGTATCTTGAACTGTGATTCAAAGAAAACATACAGTGGCTATATAGGATGGTGCCTACAAACCAGCCTCGCAGCAGCGCTCTGAGGCTTTTCTTGCTGGTCCTCCTCTTCTCGACGGCAAACGCACATTCATGGATCGAACAACTGCTTGCTATCGCAGCAAATGGAACTTTCGTCGGATCTCCAGGCTACGCCAGAGGCAATGTTCATCGCACTACTCCCGGGTTCAGCGACCCGACCATGACTTACCTTATTCCACCGAATGATCGAGCCAACCAGAGTCTAATTCTTCCCACCGACAAGATGTGCAAAAGCACGCAGCGAACACGAAACCAAACCGAGGGTAGCCCCAGGCTGCAGGCAGCCGCCGGCTCTCCCATCGCTCTTCGCTACCAAGAAAACGGCCATGTGACTCTACCTTGGAATCAACCGGGAAAGCCGAAGAATAGAGGAACGATATACGTTTATGGAACCACCGAGCCGAAGGAGGAAGAAAACTTCTTGGACGTCTTCAATTCCTGGAATCGCGACGGTACGGGAGGGGATCGACGCGGCGTTCTCTTGTCGAAGCAAAACTTTGATGACGGCCGCTGCTATCAAATCAACAATGGTAATATCTCCGAACATCGTCAAGCCGTGTACCCCCACGTGGCGAACCAATTGATGGGCGCAGATTTGTGGTGCCAACAGGATATCGCGCTACCGTCCAATGCACCTTCAGGCAAGCCGTATACACTCTACTGGGTCTGGAATTGGCCAACAGCTCCTGGCGTGGACCCGTCACTCCCCAACGGCAAGCAGGAAATCTATACTACTTGCATTGATGTGGATGTGGTCGATAGCCCTACAACTCATACGCACGTCCAGGAGGGATATGTGGAGGGCCAGTCCCTTGATAGTGCAGCCATCCCATCTGAGTTTGCCGAGGTTATGGGATCTAGCACCGATAGTAAGGAGGCTGGAAGCAGTTCTGTGCCATATTCGTCGACGCCGGCTCCGACGTCAGCACCAACCTCAGTGGCGCCCTTTAGAGTCCTCACATTGACGACAGTCATCACGACACATATACCTGTGCCTAGCAGTGATACCCTGGCTGGGAGCACTTGATCGAAACGACCTTGCTTTTGATGTGAATCCCTTGCGTTCACAATAGCTAGGGGATCGGGAATGCATTGTATACCCTCCGAAGGTATTGGGTGAACTTTTACATTCTCTTCTGCCGCTCGAGCTAGGCTGGCCTAGCCGGGATTGATGACAGTCACTCTTTTAACCTTCGTTTGACTAGAGCCCTTCTGATCAATAGACAACTGAATCGCTAGACTTCATCCCTGTGCTTTTCCTAGTGTAAGACATTGTGTAGATTGGGTTGGGAAATATCTTAAAATCGATAAGTACGAAATCCAGCGCAAAGCCACGAGCAGTGGATATCATCCTATATCCGGAAGAAATAAATAGAACAAGAGTGGCTGGCTCTAGTCTAGTGGCTGGGGCGTGGTGGGTGAGTAGTAGTAGCTAGCTAGTATGAGCCATGCAAGGCAGAAAGGCATGTGGAGAAACCAAGCAAGCGCATTGTAATGCCTGACTTCTGAGGCAGAAAGTGGCCCGTTCGGCGATGGCCCGAGGCATCCACACCTGAAACACGCTAAGCCACGCGTGGGCGGTCACGTGGAGAGGGCGAATCTTCAAACTTCCAGACAAAAAAGAAGAACGAGCTCGAAGGAGTGGAAGAGGTCGGTTTAGAGTCAGGAAAGACCCCGGACTATTCACCCCGATCGACTGCTTCTTCTCCCCTCCCTTTGTCTGCCTGAAGAATCGCTCAATTGCCTGGCTGTTCCGTCTTGAAAGACAGCGACCCTGCATGCCAGCGGGTTTCTGAATCCTGAACTCCACCGCATCGGTGACTGCGCCTCGTTGATCCTTAACGCTTCAGTCGGAGCCTTCACGGCAGGTAAGTTAGCAGTAATCTCCGGCACTGGCAAGCCTCTTGTCGCACCCTCGCCCCTACCATTCATTCTCGCTCGCTCGCTCGCTCGCTCTCTCTCTTCCTTTCTCGCTCCACCGTCCCTTATCCTGTGTGTCATCTTTCTCCTGCTTCCTGCAGCTGAGTGTCTTGTCCTCCTCTCCTGGCGCTCATCCCCTCTTTCTCATTTCCACCCCTCAATCAATCAATCAATCAATCAATCAATTTCCTCCCTTCCCTGCCTCCCCTCTTTCTGCCTCCCCCGTCTGTCATTGGGTTCGGTAGTCGCCGTCTCTCAGAGTGGCGCTTTTTTGGCCCTGCCCTCGTTGCTAAATTTAGCATCCCCAGTTTTGCCTTCGACCATCCGAACTCCCAAGCGCGGGACCAAAACGCTCTCGAAACAAACCTCCTCTTATTTTTCTCCCACCTGCTTCGCTGCAAACCTTCCCTCCACCGGGCATTGGCTGTCGCTCATCAAATTTTGTCTGCCACCCCTGCAGCCGCCTGGTCGGTGCAGTCAACGTCGTTGTGTTTAATATTTCTTGGCCTGAGAAAGAGAGGGGAACAGCTGCCCGTAACTGGAGATCCCCGCGGTGCTTGCTCTTGAGGTCGATAGCCGCGCTGTACCTGTCCGTTCGCTGTCGATTATACCCGGGCCTGTCAGACATCCCATTGCGGCCACCTCGCTTCTTTGGCGTCTAGCCGCAGTCCATTAACTCGTCGCCGGTCGTCTAGTGCCCTCCTCGGTTGAATCAGATTTGATTCGGCGCGCAGCGTCCTCCCAGACCCAGATCTGCATCGTGCTTGCACGCAAGGAGCTCACAAGACATCCCTCCGATTTGAGTCGCATGCTTTCGCATACATATCCTTGGTGCGAGCTTTTCCTTGAAATAACCTTCGGGCGGGATCTGGCAGTAGAGTTTCGTGGAAGAACGATCGCGATGCGAAACTAGGGCGGACCGGTGCTCCAGCTTTTCCATCCCCCTCTCAAGAGACAACATCCGACCCGGCATTACCTCACACGACATCTTCGACACGTAATCTTTTTTTTTTCTTCCGCTCTGATCATTGCCTTTGAGGACTCATGACCATCATCATGGCTTCCACAACCTCAGCCCCCTCATCGCAGCCAACGGCTTCCTCAAACCTAACGGTTTTGCCTCCTATAATCACAGACTCCCCAGTTAAGCGGCAGGGCCGTCAGCGATCCTCCTCGTACGCGAAGGATCGTCTCTCAACGCACTCTAATGTTTCCTTAGCTTCTCAGAATCGGTCGCGGCCGGGATCCCACGTCTTTCCTGTCTTTCATTCCAGCTTACCGTATGCGCTGGTTCGCGACTTTGCGTATCCTCCTATCCATCCTCTTCACTACGGCCCATTGCCGCCTCGTGCGTCGGTAGTATCCACCCCGGCAAGTGAGCAACGGCGCCTGTCCGATCCTCCGGCCCCATGGGATAGTTCTCGTGGCCAATGGTCCGTGGGACCGTGGACTACCGACCATAGCTATGGGCATCAGCAACTTCCCGCCATGTCCTTTGGCGATGGACCGCCGTATAGCGAGGATGAAGACTTGCACAGCCCAGTCTTTTCCGCCCCCCGTCACCGGAAAAACAAGTCCACCGGAACGGACCTTAATGGACGGAAAGCCAGGGGCCCTGGTGGCCGTGAGCATCAAGGCATGAGCTATGAGGCGGATACCGATCGGGGTACGCTTGTCAGTATGAACGCGGACGGCAGTGAGACGTACTATGTAAACGATGACGACGCTTTGGAGGATGGACCGGGCGGCGAGTATGTCACCTATCCGGCGAACGAAAGCCGGTATTCTCACGTGGGCTCATATGGCGACTATCAAGCCTATGGACATGATGCGGACTTTGATTCTGAAGACGACTATGCTGGGGATCATCGGTACTCGCGTGACTTCCAGTTTGCTGTGGGATGCCCTGATGAGGAGATGCACGGAAAAGCGGTTGCGCTGTTCGATTTCACAAGAGAGCATGAGAACGAGCTGCCTCTTACTGAAGGGCAGGTGATCTTCGTCTCATACCGGCACGGTCAGGGCTGGCTTGTTGCGGAGGATCCCAAGACCGGGGAGAGCGGGCTGGTACCAGAGGAGTTTGTGCGTCTGCTTCGAGACATCGAGGGAGGGCTGACGTCGTTGAACGGCGAGCCTGATGCGGACGAAGAGAACAATACGTACCTGAGCCCGGAGTCGACAGACTCCCAGCAAGCTATTACACCCACGCAAGACGAACAGCTCCCACTAGAATCGACCTACGTTAGCGTCGAGCATGTCTTCAACGGGGAGAAGAGGAAGTCTTCCCAGCTGTCTAGCGGTGGCAAGACGGATTCGAACATGTCACATTTCCCGGCAGAAGATCAGGGGCTTGAAGCCCCGCAAGACCTTCCTGAAAAGAAGGTGGCCTAGTTTCACACTCCTGCAATAACTGGAGCCATTATTCCTGTTAAGGGGTTACATATTATCTCAGCTTCTGATGAGATCGGTGACCCAGTATAATAGCTCTGGGCCCTGTTACTCTCCTGAAGGCCGGTTTGATCCTCGACCTGAACATGATTGCATCATTTTCTATTTTCTTTCTCCTTTTTCCATATTAAACATTTCCTTACTGTTCTTGTTGTTCCCCGGCTGGAACTGCTATTGTTGGAATACCACCATTTGAACGGGACGGCTGTTTGTGAATGCATGCATGCATGATATGATCATTTCATGACGAGAGGAAGAGATAACTGAAGAGGGAGAGAACTAGCAGAGACGAGGAGAGATTGTGAAAGTGAGAGTATGAGTTGAGTGACTGTTTCAAATGTGGCAAAGGTGTGGGCAAACGTGCCTGTATATATGTTTCTGTACTTGAGCGATGGCGTCAATGCATTAGATTATGGTTGTAGGCTGGCTTGCTTGCTTTTCTGTGAAAACAAAAGCATTCCCTAGCATACAGCGTGTGATCGAAGTATTCATATACCTCCAACAGCGGTTAGTTATGTTTTTATCTATATTTATTGTGATTTATGAGCAACGCATACCATCTTACTATTCATGTCCTTTGTACCTCTGTCGGCAGATGTCTAAGTAACTTGCAGTATGTACGGTATCTCCACTGTCAATCTCATCTTGATACTAGTAACACGAGAATATCTTCAATATGAATCTGCTAATCACGGCATCTAAGAGCAGTATTCTCCCTCTCTCCCTCCCACTCCCACAAATATGGCCAATAGTAAGTAACTAGTCGATGAACGAAAAGAGAGAATATACTGCATAGCACACACCAAGGCCACCTTCAAATCCCACCAAGTAACTAATCAGTTACAGGTGCCGAAACTATACTACTATGACAGAGATGAGTCTCTGAGCCACAATCCCCTAGTTCGAACTGGGCTCATCCACCTCCTAGTAGCTGATGCCTAAACTGCCGAGAGACACGTTAAGACGCTTACTAGAACCCAAACCGGACATCCGTCGGACAAGGATTGGATGATGCCATCATGCTTTGGTGAGATTCACGCATATAAATAAATGATATTAGTACCGACTGTCCAAACGAACAGCAAACTGACATCTGATTCCATACACAGCACTACCCCTATAATGGCAAGCCTATTCACAGAAACAACCCCATCAAGAATCAAAGACACAAAAGTAAAACCCAAACCCACCATCCATGTCTTTTCATTTACTATACTGAGTATTCTCATACTAAGGATAATAATAATAGGGCCTCCACCTCCTAACAACCTCCACCCCCAACGGCAAAAAAGTCCAAATCCTCCTCGAAGAACTCAAAGACCTCTACGGATTACAATGGACCACATCCCTAATCGACCTCGACACCGACGAGCAGAAGCAACCATGGTTTCTGGCGTTTAATCCCAACGGTAAGCCATAATCCATCCCTCTTTTTTTCTTTCTTTGTGACCTACCTAGACAAGTAAGTAGGTAGATGCTAAACAAACAAACCCATACAGGAAAAATCCCCCTCCTCATCGACAACTCAGCCAGCAACTCAGACCCAATCCCAGTCATGGAATCAGCCGCTGAACTCCTCTACCTCGTAGAAAAGTACGACCCGGATCACCATTTCCACTTCTCGTCAGCAATCCATCGATCCCAGCTCCTCCAGTGGTTGATCTTCTGGTCTGCGTCGGGTCAGCCGCAGCAGGCGGGGTTGAATCATTTTGCTCGGTTCGCGGGGGTGGAGGTTCCTTGTAAGCACACACATTCTATTTCGGTTCTTGTGGTTCTATGAGATATCCAATTTACTTATTGCTTTTGGGGGTGGGAATAGATGCTGTTGAGAGATTTAAGGCTGAGACGCTTCGGATTTACAGCGTGCTGGAATTGCATTTGTCCAATGGTTTGGCTGGTGGTGGTGGTGGTGGTGGTGGTGGTGGTGGTGACGAAGCTAGGGAGTATTTGGTGGGCGAGGGACGAGGGAAATACAGCATCGCGGATATTAATGCGTATGCGTGGGTGCGGGCGTGGAAGAGAATGACGATCACGGAGGAGGAAATGGATGGGTTTCCGCTGCTGAGGAAGTGGATTGAGCGGATTGGGGAGAGGCCGGCGGTGGTGAGGGGGGTGGGGGATGGGTATGATGAGGAGGTGCATCCTGAGTTACTACTTACTGCGAAGCAGGGTAGATAGGGAGGACTGATTGATGAGTTGAAGTTGAGGTAATAGTACTGTTACTAGTGTTCATGGGTATATATCTAGGTTGAGGGTAGTTACTAGGACATCGGCATGCATTTAGTTGGCTAAGTCAAATCTAATTAGATTGCATCCTATAGAACTTTTTCTGCTTTTGGATTAAGAAACAATCAGAACGAAAGGCAGGCTCGAAGATTCCTTCGAAGTACCAAGCATACCGTAGCATACCATATCGAACCAGGGAATAGGAAAGCCGAGCTATCATGCCACAGGAGAACGGAGGATATATCTGGGAGTAGTCATGCGAACAACCGGCTAGAGGCAATGGGTAGATAGTGGAATAGATGAGAAGAAGAGGAAAAGTGAGTTAGGGTAGGCCTGCTATTTTAGATCTTGCACGCAAGCAACAAGATAAAAGGAATGAAGAGAAGAAATATTCGTACTACGGTATAGACACACACAGAGTCATTCAAACAGTGCCAAAAGGAAAAGAGAACAAGTTAGCTAAGCGGGGTAAAGGAAGAAGGCAATGATGTAAGAAGTCGAGCTAAGATAGTCACGGATCTAGCCCAACAGGTCGTCTAGTCCAGAGCTTCCCGTTGTCTTCGACGTCCCGCTGTTGCTGCTCTGGTTGAATGCAGGACTGCTCGAAGCAGCGGGGGCACCCCAGATGCCGGCGCTGGCCTTTTGCTTGGCCATGCTGGCTAGGTTAGGGCCCTTGTTTCCGCCCGTGTTATTCTTCTGAATACCGGCGCTGGCGCTCGCGCTGGACCAGAGGGATCCGAAGACGTCACCGGACGCCTTGGTGGCAGCGGGCTTACTGGCTGCAGAGGGGGTAGAGGGCGTGGTGGAACTGAAAGAGGAAGTGGAGGGCATGTTGGGGCGGTGGCCCATAGCAGGTTGCTGAGTCGTATTGGAGAGGGTAGAAACGGAGGTGAAGTAGTTGGGAGTGGCGGCCTGGAAGCCACTAGGCTTGGGTTGCGCGGGCTTTTGGGCCTGTGCCAGGGAGCTCTGCGAGAGTGTAGGAGACGCCATCGTGCTGGAGGTCGGGGTAGGGGTCATCGAAGTGAAGCCTACAATGCCGTTCAGGTTCGAACCCTGCGTGGCCGAGACTGGCTTGGGGGCAGCGAACTGCGTGCTGGAGGTCGTGCTGACAGTGGAAGCCGGCGGGGGGATGGCGAACTGGGCTGACGATGCCGGCGCAGGCGCTGGGGTGGCGGATTGGAAATCGTCGAAGTCGTCGTCGTCAGCAGGCTGGGTGTCGAAAATATCTAGCCCGCTGCTGCCATTGCCTGTGACAGGCTTCTTGGAGGCGCTGACAGAAGTCGTGACAGTCTCCTCCTCTCCGAAGTCGAACAAGTCTTGCTCGGGAGCCTTAGGAGCAGGAGCGGCCGGCTGCTTAGCCTGACGAGTAGCACTAGCACGGGGAGGACTGGGCCCGCGCCGGCGCGGGGGACTAGCATCACCCTCGTCATACTCGTCATATTCCTCGAAGCGATTGGAACGTCTCCCGGAGTCCCCGAAATCGCCTGTGTTGCCTCCGAATCCACCACCGTCACCGTAGACACCTCCACTGTACCCGCCAAACGAGAGGCTGTCACTGCCAAAGCCACCATACCTGCCGGAGCTGGAGCTGGACATGCCACCGCCAATGTGCGAGCCACCCTCGAATCCACCGAACTTGTTGCGGTTGGCCCTGGCCTTCTTCCTCTCCGAGCGGATCAAGTCGACGTCACCGAGCAGCTTAACCAACTCCGATGACCTGTTGCGCACGTTGATACCCTGGTCTTTTCCGTTCTGGTCGATGTAGTGGAATTGGCGGAGCATCCGAATCAGAGACATGTGAGAGCGGGCGTCGTCGACAACTCGTTCGGATCCGTTCTTGACAAGGAACTCTAGAAGTTGGAGCGCCTGTTGCGCATCGTAAGCTGTGGTCTACATGTGTCGCGGAGATGATGGAAACTCACCTTGTAGATCTGCCGCCATTCCTCCGAGGTCTTGTCTGTGAAGCGCTTGTAAATCATAGGCATGATCTCGTTAAGCAATTGACTGCATGTTGCGACACCTCATTAGTACTCCAGGGGAAACCTCGCTAGCCCATGCGACGGGGGCGGGAAGACTGACTAGCTATGGGTTCCACTGGCGATCTCATGCATGAGTGTGTTCGAGGCACCCCAAGGTTCATTGTTTGTAGCTTCTCGGACCTGTCCAACGTGAGTGTTGTGCTTCAAGGGATACGACCACACGGGGTGCGGAGGCCCGGGACTCGTGGCGGCACGGAACTGGCGGGAGAGTAGGAACGGACCTTGGCCTCCATCTCGGTATAGTTCATGACCGCTATAGGAGTCAGTGAATCGCCTAGATCAGGGGAGCAAGACCCGAGGCCATCCAGAATGACGGAATAGCGTTCTGGGGTCACCGCGGGGACGTACCATTCTGGACCTTGCGGACTCCCGCCTTGAGATCATACAAGGTCAGGTTGCTGACCTGTTCTTTGAGGTTGGAGAAATCCATGGCGCACACAGCACAGATGGAGAATCTAACGCAGAATCAATTGAAACCGTAACAGGAAAGTCCTGCGGGAACAAGGACAGGTAGGCAAGCAGCAGTGGACGAAGAGGCGGAAGTTGAGATGCCATCGCCTCCAGCTGGCATCGATCGCCGTTGGGCCCCAAGCCGTCACGTGGCGACCCCTGACCCGTCCATGGCTCGGCCTCCTTCAATGAACAACTTATTCACAAAGATGGCATTCAATCATGACAAAATAATGGCTATTATCCTCTCTGTTTACTAGCTACAAGCATGGTGCGCAATTACAAGAGCTCTATGATATCTCACCAGGTACTTCTAACGGATACGTACACATATGGCATTCATTCAATCATCGTCGAGGCAGGCATAGGCCATACATACATAACATGCGGGCGGTTGCGCTCAAGCATCCGTAGACACTTTGCAAAGCAAACCGGGAGGGATACAAAAAAGAACATATTCGGTAGGTATAAAGAATTCGAAGGTTCGTCTCCACCATGCCCGCTAGAGGCACCTTTCGGGATGAACTCTTTTTCATCGTCAACATGATAGCAAGAGGAAGGGATATCTCAAAGAAATGCAGACAACAAAAGCATAAACAAAATGAAACATGAACACGTGAAACGTAATAGACGGAAGAATATCATGATCCAGCATCAAACCGCTCCATCACTCATTATAGAACTTTCTCATTATCAGGTGCAAGAAAAGATTGACGTTGACTCGTAAGTGCCCATCGAAGAAGTCCAGGAACTGCATGTTGTTGAACTGGGCTTGCAGTAGGTCGTCCAACGGAACCTGCGCGTTGGCACCCGGGATCATCATCGGTCCACTGCTTCCATCAATGGTGAAAACTCCGACTTCGTTACTCGAGATGGTAAGGTCGACCCGGTCCCACTGTCGTTCAGTGTATCCCTTCCAGTGCACGAGGACTCCCCTGTCCGCCAGATTGCGGGCTGAGTACTTGTAGGAGCCAAACTTGAATACCTTGCCGGACTTCTGTAGTTCTCGTTGGTGATCCCACTGCTTGGTGAACGGCATAAGGAACCGCTTCTTTCCCTTCTTGTTCTGCAAGGTCACCATGGCCTGCTCGATGTAGTCGTTGTAGGTCTTGAGTTGTTGATCCAGCCAGATAGCTTGGTCGTTGAGACGAGCAAGCGTCATGCGAGCGCTGTCCAATTCCCGCTCCCGCTGGATTCTCCGGCGATGCTTTGTGCGGATATCGATGGCGATCGCGTTCAACAAATCCTGATAGTAATTATCGCGCCGGATTTTACCAGTTTGTTCGAGTTGGAGAATGTTTTCCAGCGCCGTTTGCTTCAACTCGGTGTAACTCATAGAGGCAAGGTCTACCATGGTGGTGGCCTCCGAGTAGGGGCTTCGTCGCGTGTTGTTCGCACTCAACTCGTCGCGAACCAACGTCATCCATTTGGCTTCGTCCTCTTCGGTGGGTGGTTTAACCATGATATCCATCAGGTTAGCGCCTGTTTGGACCCGAATAATGTAGAGTATGCATCGCTTGGTTTCCATGAACAGAGCCTTCACATCCGCTTCCGGGTCTAATTCCAACTGTCAGTCTCCAGGGCATATTAGTAAGAGGAGAGTGTGCTCGGGCTTACCTTCAACTTGTGCCAGCTTGGGGTTCAAGGTGAGGTTGATCTCAGAGGAGTTGACGCTCATCAGTTCACTCTCGTTAGACTTGACGTTACCCAGGTCACGAATGACCTCCTTCAGAATATCATCTGGATTCTGGCAGATGTAATGGACTTCGCTGGCGATAAGCTGATGGATAGAGAAGATATCAGACATTTTGATATACAAAGTAGGCTTTGTCTTAGCATAAAGGTCGTTGAATTCGTCGATGTCGAAATACGTTTCAGCGTCCTGAACAGAGACCACTACATCAAAGTCAGCACCACCCCTGAGGTTGTAGGCCATGGTAATACTCACTGTCACCCCATATCTGGCCAAGCCGCTGGATAGAATCTCCGATGTAGCTATTTAGTGGCTGGAGATACACATTCTCTGCGCCGAAAAGCCGGCCGGATGCTACCTGCGCGATCACCTTCGAGATTTCTGAAAGATTGCGCTTTTGCTCTTGTGTCAAGCCCCGATCTATCACACCATACTTCTCGGGTTCGACCATTGCAGGATGGAAGTAGTTTCTCCATACCCAATGGCCCGCTGTCTGGAGGATAAATCCAGGATTCTCCTGGGGAAATCGAGCAAGAAGGCTCTCGTACATCTGTTTCGCGATGTAACGAATACCAAAGGGCATCCTGTACAATAGCTCCTCAAAGGCAGAAAAAAACTGATCAGCGATATCGCGAAGGTCTTGAAGGTGCTGGATAAATGTAGCTCTTGTTTCTGGGTCTCTAATCGCCTCCTCCCTTAGGATGTCCAGTCGGCGTCGGCTTCGCTTGCCAGTCCGGAGCTCTTCGTTGTTGATGGCCGAGCGATAGATC